ATAACTTCTTGATTTTTGTCTAAATCTGATTGTTTACCCAAAAGTCATTCAGAAGAAGGTTGCTTTAATTTCCATGTAATTATATGCTTTCAAGAGATCATCTTGGTATTAATTTCTGTGTTTATTGTGCAGTGGTCTGAGAGGGTGGTTGATATGATTTGGTTTTTAATTTTTTTCAATTTGTTGATAATTGCTTTATGTCCAAGCATATGATCAATTTTATGTGCTATGTACAGATGAGAAGAAAATGTATTTTGTTGTTATATGGAATGTTCTGTAGAGGTCTTTTTGTTCCATTTGATAAAGTGTAAAGTTTAGGTCCCAAATATCTGTTAATTTTCTGCCTTTTTGCTCTAATATTGTCAGTGGGTTATTGATATCTCCCGCTATTATTATGGGGTTATGTAAGTATCCTTGCAGGTTTCTAAGAACTTCTGGATTCTCCAGTATTGAGCACATCAATACTTAGGATAGTTAAGTCATCTTATTAAAATGAGCCCTGCATCATTATGTAATGTCCTTCTTTCCCCTTTTTGATGACTGCTGATTAAAAGCTTGCTTTGTCTGAAATAAGGAAAGCAGCTCTTGATTTGTTTGTTTTTGTTTTCTGTTTCTTGACAGATTTTTCTCCATCCCTTTACTTTGAGCCTATGAGTGTCATTGCATGTGATGTGGTCTCTCGAAGACAGCATATAGTTGGGTTTTGCTTCTTATGTTAAAAGACATTCTGTGCCTTTTAAGTGGAGTGTTTAGCCTATTTACATTCAAGGTTAATATTGATATGTGAAGATTTTATTCTGCCATTACATTAGCTAGTTGTTGTCTAGATTTGATTTTGGATTTGCTTTAGAGTGACAATAGTCTGTGTACTTATGTGTGTTTTTGTGGTGGTCAGTAACAGTTTTTCATTTCCATGTTTAGCACTCCCATAAGGACCTCTTGCAAGGCAGGTCTAGTAGTAACTAATTTCCTTACTCACTTTCAGGGATGTCAGCAAGTCATAGGTTTAGTCTCATCACATAATTTCATATTTCTTGGAGATTTTTGTTCAGTCTTTTTTATTATTTTTTCATTATTTTTTCTGTCATACTTGATTTGATAAATCTTCAGGCTCTGAGATTTCTTCCTTAGCTTGGTCTGTTCTGCTGTTAATACCTTCAATTGTATTATTAAATTCTTGTAGTGTTTTTCAGATCTATTAGATCAGTTCTTTTTTTCTTGAAGTGGCTATTTCATCTAGCTTTTGTGTCATTTTACTGGATTCCTTAGATTTCTTGGATTGGGTTCCAACTTTCTCATGAATCTCAGTGATCTTCATTGCCACTCAGACCCTGAATTCCATCTCTGTCATTTTAGCCATTTCAGCCTGATTAAAAACCAGTGCTGGGGAACTATTGCAGTCATTTGGATCTAATAAGACACTGTGGCTTTTTAAGTTCCCAGAGTTTTTGTGCTGGTTTTTCTGTCATCTGTGTGGGCTGAAGCTCCTTAAATCTTTGAAGCTGCTGTCTTTTGGATGACGCTTACTGCTTTTATATTCCTTAATGTCCTTGAAGGTTTGACTGTGTTATAAATTGGGTTCAGTAAACTGGCTACATTTCTGGATGATTTCAGGTGGCCCAGGCTCAGCTCAGTACATCTGGGGCCTGGGCCCAGGCCCATGGCTTTGTTCTCTGACCCCTCAAAAGTAAGCACCTGCTGTACTGCCAGGGCTGAGATGTTCCCAGTCAGCTGCCAATAACACTATGATGGAGAGTGCTGGTAAAAGCACTTCAGTGAGGTGGTAACAATGGGGTACACACTTGGGCATGCATGCCATCAACTACAGGGTAGCAGTGTGGCAGGGTCCGTGTGCTTGTGTGTGTGTGTGTGTGTGTGTGTCAGTCAGCAGCAGAGCAGCAACAGGGTGGTGGGCCCCTGGTACAGTGGTTGGGGGAGGCTGCAGCCAGGTGCATGCTGGAGAGGGTCCGCCTGCAGAAGCTCTCTAATGATTAGTTGGTGCCTACCATTGAAGGAGCTAAGGGTAGCTGCTGGAAAGCACCCCTATTGGGCATCCGAAGCTGCACTGCAAGTGGGCAAGGCCAGGCAGTTACCCTGGTACAGGCTGGAAGACAGGGAGTGCTCAGATCAGACTAAGCCTGTACCATGGCCAAGAAAGCCCTGCTCTATTCAGATCCTGCAGTTAACAAAGGTCAAAGCTACCTAGAAGAAGTGGTGAGCCTTGGGAGATAGGCATCTCTGGCTGTGCTCTACTGCAGCTATTGCTATGCCAAATGCCCTGGATTCTGCACAGATTGGAGTCCTGTCCCTGATAACTCTCTGATAAGCTCTCTCTGCCGAGTCAAATGTCTGTGTGGGGAGTGGGTTCCCCTGCAGCTAGGATTCTGGGGTCCATGGCAAAAGTGGGCCATTCCATATCTATTTAACTCACCCCTTTCTCAGGAGCCCCTCAGGGCCAGGAATGAGTCTTGGTGCTCAGTAGCCCAGTGCAGAGTTCCCAGCTCCCTCCTCTTTTATCCCAGGCTCTGTGTCTCTTTCTGTCCACGTTCAGTGTCATCCTGCTGAAGATCTGCTTGGAGAGTGCAGGTCTTCTCAATGGTCTGGTCTCTTAGTGGCAGCTCTTCCTGTGAGTTGTCTTGCTTAACCTGTTTTCTTAATAAAACAATGTTTGCTTCCTAAAGTTTTCAGCCTTATATATAAAATAAATTAATTCAGACTCCAATATTCCTTCACAGTTGCATACCCAGTAAATTTTATTTTATATAAATTATTTTGAAAACAATATAATAGCACTAAGATTTAAAATGACTTTTAATAAATTGAAAGAAAAAAATGGAGATTTTAAGGTCCTTTACCCCAAACCTCTAATTTTAAATTAGACTCTGAAAGTTTCCACAAATCAAAGTAATTGCTTATGTTAATTTGCAGCTAATTTTGCTACATAACATAGACACTTCTGCCTATACATGTCTTTAAAAGAATCCACTTTTATGTGAATTATGTATCATTGATGTCAAGTTATTTTTATATTCAGAGAGTGAACCATTTATTTCTGTATTTTCTGTTATTAGTGTGCCAAACACTTTTGCTACTGGAAAGCAATAAAATTAATCATTTTTGGCTTTGGCTGCTATTATGCACGTAAACAGTGATCCTGGTGAACTTGAGTGAGAATGCTCACTGTGCTCATACTAAGCCAATTAGTGCCCAGTTATTTATTTTCACTGTAGTGGCGAGTGTGGGAGTGGTGGGGGTGGAGAAGTGGGTGGGTGATGCAGAGAGAAACATAAGCACCACTAGCAGAGAAAAGGATACATAAAATTGGCAGAATAGTTTTCAGAACAAAAATTGTGGTAGTAAAAGAGCCAATGTCATAGGTGTTAGATAGCATTTATGACTATGTGTACTTGTGTGTGTGAAAACTTACAGGATGTACAAGTGTGTATAATTTGTCTTCAAGTTTAAGCTACAAACAGATGTAGTACTTTCATTTTAAAGTTAGGAAAATATAGTTTAACATTTTGCAATTTTTTCTATGAGCTTCGACATGCAATCCCATGCAATTGGAATTTGATAGTCCTTTCGCATAGGAAAATGAGAGGTAGCTAAGCATCCATTATTTAAGTCATTTTTCTGCAAGCACAGACTTAGTGTATTATCAGAGCGACAAAGGAACTAGCTATTATTCAGGAAATGTGTGACCAAGAAAATTACCTATTATTATTATTATTATTTGAGATTGCTCTGTTGCCAGGCTGGAGTGCAATGGTGCAATCTCAGCTCACTGCAGCCTCTGCCTCCTGGGTTCAAGCAATTCTGCCTCAGCCTCCTGAGTAGCTGGGATTGTAGGTGTACACCACCATGCCCAGCTAATTTTTATATTTTTAGTAGAGATGAGGTTTCATCATGTTGGCCAGGATGGTCTCGATCCCTTGACCTCATGATCTGCCCACCTTGGCCTCCCAAAGTGCTGGGACTACACGTGTGAGCCACCATGCCCGGGAACCTATTACATTTTTTAACAACAAAAGCAACTATGGCTGTCAGGAGATAGATGATAGATGACTAATTGATTGATAAATAGATAGATAGATAGATAGTTAGATAGATAGATGCTATGCAGCTGAACTGGATTCTCTTCCTCTGTCCAGATAGTTTTACATATCTTCAACACTTAGTCATTTTTAATTAGTTCTATGTCCAGAACTATGGATATGTCCATAGTCCTTAAATATATGTCCTTAACTGTCAAATATATACAAAAGAGCCAAACTGCAAGCATTAAAAAAAAAAAAAGCAAGGACAAGCAACATTTATCCACAGTTTGTTGGTCAACTTATAAACAAATATAGCAAATTATAAATTGGTATCTTTAGTGATTATTAGAATTGTGTCACATATTAGATAATATATTATTTAGAAGTTCTGGAAAGAATCCAGTGAGTACTGTAGCTGTGGGTACAGAGAGTAGCCCCCATTTGAGATCTTGCTTCATTATCTTCACCTGGTACCTCTGTGAACCAAGGATGGGAGAGTGCTCCACCAGGAACTACTCAGTGGGTTTTTTCCATATATGTTAAAGCTAAAGTGCCCCTCCTATTGTGTTTAGTCCTCTAAAGTTTCTTTTACTTTCTTAGAATATTGCTGTAGAATTTTAGATCTAACCTTAAGGATTATTTTACAGATTATGAATATTGCATTCAGCATTATTAATTGCATGACCACAGCATTATTAATTGAATGATCAATTAGTGGTAAAACTGGTAATCAGACAATTGGCAAGACATCTCCAGTTTCCTTTGACTACACTCTACTGCCTTTTAAATTTCCATTCATTCTCTTTTTATTCTCAGAATTTGGCTAAGAAGCATTGGAATGTTGTCTCAGTGGCACTTCTTTAAGGATTTTTGTTTTCCAAACACACAGAAAAATCATATTGTTGACCATTTATTTTCCTTTTGTTTAATGTTTAAGACGTGTCTCTATTTTTCTCTAAATAGCCTCAAAACCAGTGGACTTGAAATTATGCACTGGCCCTGTCCCTAATACTACACAGCTGTGCAACATTCCTTGTCCAACTGAATGTGAAGTTTCACCTTGGTCAGCTTGGGGACCTTGTACTTACGAAAACTGTAATGATCAGCAAGGAAAAAAAGGTAGGTAACATTACATGCCTTTTATACCCACCAATTGTATCAAATCATGAATTATTTTTAAAATGCTCTTCTATGTTCTGTGTTTGTGGTATTTTCCAGAATGGCTAAAGACTATTAATTTGAAAAGGCGAGTAAACCTAATCTAGTGATGGTACTGGAAGATTAAAACAGTAGAATATAGGCATAAGTGTTTGTTAATTTAGACAACATGGTGGAGAATATCTTAGGCAGTTTAGTGCAATGGTTAAGAAGAGCTGTGGGGTCAGGTCTGGATTGGAAAATGTACTGTGTCTCTTACTGTTTAGATAAGTTAACTATCTAGATCTTTGTGTCCTTATCTGTAAAAGGGAGGTAATAATATCTGCCATCTACTTTGTCTCTAAGGAATGAATGAGATAAACATATAGTGCTTATGTTTCAGTGCCTGCCCCATATCTAGAGCCTAATAGATAAAGCTGCTTATTACTTTGAAGACAAAAATGTATAAATTGTATTACTTTCAAAATGCAAATGATAGAGAAATAGAATAAATACAATGGTTTTCTTGTGGTGGACATGGTGAGCTAATTTTCACATGACTTCATAATTGAAAACATTTTTCTATTTTGTTTCAAAGGGCAGTCTTCTAGTGATTCTAGTATGTGTACATAGTAATAAAGAGACTTATTAATTTTGTTACACACTGTCAGGAAGGACAAGACTTAAGTGCTATTAAAGCACAAAGCAGGACTTTGAATATTCCACACTAGAGCCCTCATGGCTTATGTTCCTAATTCAGTTTTCCAGAGGGTCTAAAATCAAAGGAAGCTCAAAGAAATTGTTTCTCTGGAACCATCCAACTTCTTAGAGGCTCATTTTCCAAATTTAATCATGTGACATTGTTGAAGATTTAAGAATAATAGCACTTTCATCTGGTCATCAATATTTCTTGAAATTTAATAGCTTGAAATTTCATTCCTTTTTTGAATATTCTTTGGCTATAGACTTTCCAACTTAACCAAAATTTATCTCTTTGTGTTCCCACCCCTGTCCTCTATGCCCTATGAGGGCCACAGATGGGTACTGTATCACATTTCTAGCCTTACCTTTGTGGTAGTAAGCTCAAGTTGCCATTTTTTTCCATTCCGTTCATTAACCCACTCACTCATTTAATGAATTGTTCCTGACCTCACAGTAGCTAGAATTTCGGGATACACCAGTGATTCAAAACAAAAATGACTTCTACCTCCACTCTTTTCTAACTTTCACCCTGAGGTTTTAATTCAACTTTCTGAAATACTCAGCCTTTGATGGTAACAATAGGTTTTTCTTTCCCCCGTAATTCAGGCTTCAAACTGAGGAAGCGGCGCATTACCAATGAGCCCACTGGAGGCTCTGGGGGAACTGGAAACTGCCCTCACTTGCTGGAAGCCATTCCCTGTGAAGAGCCTGCCTGTTATGACTGGAAAGCAGTGAGACTCGGAGACTGTGAGCCAGATAACGGGAAGGAGTGTGGTCCGGGCACGCAAGTTCAAGAGGTTGTGTGCATCAACAGTGATGGTGAGTCAAACGCATCTATTGTGTTTTTATGGATGTCCAACCCTGCATACATGTTTTTACTTACTGTTAAAATCCTGTCTTCTCTCATTACAACTGGTTCCATTTACAAATGTAGAAATAGCTGCTTCTCTCTCCTTTCCTCCTTCCCTCTCTTTCCCTGTTTCTCTTTCTCTCTCTGTCTCTTACGTTCTTAATGAAATCGTGGCAGTGGAGAGGATCCATGAATAGTAACAGGGTATTGTTAAATGTGAAAACAGAACAGATCATACAGTAGAAGAATTAAATTATCATTAGGGCAGTAATTTATTAAGTTTCCAAATTTAACAATAACAAGGAAAGGTAACTTTTTAAAGTGCCTTTAAAAAAACTGTTATGGGAAATGAAATGTAAACAAAGAAGGGTTGTAACTGTTGGTTGACTTGACTCTAAAAGTCTTTTCTTCTAACCTCCTTGACACTGTGTCTTAGCATTATTTAATTTCCAGGCTTATGACAGCCTAGAGTTCCTGAACTGACGTTTGTTCTCTAGGGGTTCCCTATTTAGGAATGTCCTGGAGCACTGGAAAGTGGCTTTCCAGAAGACTCTTTTCCACAACCACAGGAATAACGTTGGACTTTTATAACTCATATTTATTTGATAAAATATGCTGTCTTGATGTTAGCTCTGATAAAAGATTTTTAGGTTCCTTCATAAGAGCCCTGCAACTGTTCTGGTGAGAACCCCTTACTTCAAAATCATCCCTGAGTCACACAAACCACAGGACTTCCCCAAACATAGTTTAAAACCTCTGGACAAGATCATCTGTAAGGTTGCTCTATCTCTTGAATCCTATGACTCTGCACATCAGAGAAGCATGAGTGCTAAACCCCAGGGTCCCATGGTTGACAGTTTATGCTGTTTACAGCATATGCAGAAACATTCTGGTGCCCCCTGGGGGGTACTGGAACATCTGGTAACCGTCATAATTCCTTCCATCCTATTTTCTTCCAGCAAGCAAAATTGTTTCCTCCTGTGATTCAGTCGCTGTTTAGTCTTAAAGGAAGACAGTCTCTGGGGTGGGAGACTGACAGACACTGCTATTACTGAGAAATTAGCCTTTTCTCTTTGTCCAGGGTCTAATATAGTCATGCAGAACAATCTGAGCCAGTGCTTAAGTTTGAAAAGGGAAGAAGGAGATCATTGTTCCAGATCTTTCAGGATGAATTTTATATATTCTGCTTTTTAGCTGTGATAAGCATAATTAGCTGTGATATATCCTCTCTTTAGTTCTTCCTTATTCTTCAGTAAAGAGTGGAAAAAAGGGAGGAAGTAACACTCAGAGATTGGCAGCTAGGAAGAGAAAGCAAAAGAAGCATGTTCTCTTTCTCTTTTACTCACACTTGAAATGCTAATTTGGATCATACAATACTCTATGTTATCTTCTGAACTGCTGCAAAAACAGTAAGGATCATATTGAATTCCCTGATCATTTTTCTCAGTTCAAATAATTGTTCTTGTCCTTCCATAGATTCACAGAGGAATTAGGGTCTCAGGTATTGTAAAAAGTATTTTTGAGTGAAACAGAAAGCTAAAACGTTAGTTTTGCATGGCACTTCCGCCTCAGTATTATGCGATGAAAAATCAGACCTAGTCCGCTTAGTGCAACCCTCTTCCTGGTATTTGTGCAAATTGAATTTATTTTATATAGACTAAAGGAGCCAGCTATTTAAAAAAATTACCAGTGGCTTAGTTTAATTTTGTTAAGTAAAACTTATTTTGCAACACAAATAATTACCTCCTGGCTTGTCTTGTGAAAAAACGGTAAAAATCAAGCGGAGGTATGAGTTAGATGTGCGTAGTGGCACTGGTAACGTATGTTATAACCTACAAAACAAATTGATAACACAATACACATGAGCTGGTTCCACTTTGCTTACCTCACAAACAGAATGACTTTTAGAAAGATAAGAATGCGACTGATATTCAATCTGTTATTGTCCTTTACCAGGACATCTTTTCCACCATTAAATTTTATCTCCCGACCTTAATTAGTTGTAATTAATTATTACTACTTAATACATTAGCTGTTTCAACTACATGGATGTGTAAAATCAAGAAAATTATTTTTTATTATAAATCTTAGAACCCACTCAAATTTGTGTATAACCTGAGACATAATTGGGCTGATAGAGTAAAACAAAAATTTGGAGACTTGTAAATACTACTCCGATATTATTGTGGGTCACCTGGTAGGTGTTAGCAGCTGCACCAAACGTTGTTTTGTAATTAAATTGGGCCCAGGGAATTAAAGTGGATTCATCGTGCAGACTGTACCTCTAGGCCTGGGCTGCAGCTATACGTTTTGTTTTATAATTAAAGTTCGACTAGGGACATGAAGCGTTAGAGCCTGTGAAATGAACAAATAATAAAAAGACTTTTTTGTTCCCACATCCCTCACAGATTTCACAACTCTATTAATGACCTCAAAACACTTAAAATCTCTATTTGTTTTCTGAAATATTCTTTGTCAAGGCTCACAGTGATGATTAACATTTGCTGTTGCTGCTATTCGTTTTTCCATTTGCCTTCTAAGGAGGAGGTTCGTGGGAGGGTTGTGAGAGACCCCAGGAGGAGTTTTACATAGCTTCTGTGTCTGTCAGAGAAGAAGACGGGGTGGGGGGGGTGGGGGGAAGAGGGTAACAGAGTTGCAAGACAAAAGACAGTTAGACTCTCCAAAAAGAGATCAACATTTCAATGTAATAAAACAAATATTGCTCATTATTTAAAGATCATCGGAAACACAATTCCAGATGTCCGAACACAAATACAGGAACCTACTTCAAAATCTGTGGTTTGGGGGATCAGAGGATGTTACACTAGTAAAAAACTCAAAACCTGCCCTATTTTAATTTTTTGGATATTTGGATATGTTTCGTTTAAAGATGTAAATCTGGCAAGGCAAGAGTATTTTGTTACCTAAATTGGCTTGTTAGAAACTGAACAAAGCAAGGCTATTGGACTGGAGCAAGGGGAAAAAATATTGTCTTGTTCCTTACTTTTGTGAGTGTAAATCAGATATTGTTTCTGTAATTCCTTCTCCTCTGCAAAAAAAAAAAAAAAAAAAAAAAATGATGCTGTCTGTATTTTCATATTGTATGTGCTAGTTCAGATATTGAGTATTGACACTTTTCCATGTGAATTTCAAAAACCAGTTACATTATTTTGGGTTTTTTGGCATTATTTTATGAAACAGTAAACCTCAGTGGTTTCATATGCCTGAAGTTCTGTGCTACCTTCCTTTTTTTCCCCTGACATTAGTATAAGTTAGCATATAACCAATGACATGGGCATAGACAGCTCAGTTTCCTACTTTACCCAGACTGTTAAGAAACCAAAACGTACTTTTATGGAAGCAAGTCATTGTCAGTCATCATTACCCAGCTATTAATGATACAGTATAAGAGTAATGAAGGGCACCGGTTAGGCCCATCCTTGCTTATTGTGTCATTCTTGAATGGGAGTTAACTGTGCTATCCAAAGGCTCTCAGCACCCCGCCAACCTGGCTGGATTCTGTAATGCTGAAGAAGACCTGTGACTAAGCACATGTGGAGATGAGCACTGAGGCAAGACCTAAAAGCAAGTTTTTCTGCCTCTGTTGGGAACATATGTGCATATCATCAAAAGTATCAAAAGAAGTGGATTTGAAAACACTTGGGGGAAGTTGACTGTGTTAGGCTATTTGTGCATTGCTATGAAGAAATACCTGAAGCTGAGTAGTTTATAAAGAAAAGAGGTTAAATTGGCTAATAGTCCTGCAGGCTATACAGGAAGCATGGCATGTTAGGTGCTCGGCCTCTGGCGAGGCCTCAGGAAGCTTTTACTCATGGTGGAAGGGTAGGTGGGAGCAGGCATCTCACATGGCAGAGTGGAGCAACGGAGGGTGTGAAGAGGGAGATGCCACACTTTTTTAAACAACCAGCTCTCATAAGAACGAACTCACTATCATAAATAAAATCAGCACCAAGGAGATGGTGCTAAACCATTCATAAGAAATCTACCCCTGTGATCCAGTCACCTCCCACCAGACCCCACCTCCAACAATGGGGATTACATTTCAATATGAGATTTAGTGGGGATATACATCCAAACTGTATCATTGACTTTAGTGTCCAGATCACTGGCTTGCCATGTGACTGCTTAATCTTTCTGAACTTTTTACCACCAAAAAGAAGTGGAAACGGAAGACTTGACCACTCTTTCTTTCCCAAGTAGTTCATGTCAGACTTCTTTGTTTCCATGTAGTCAGCACTAGGAGGAATATGGTGGCATATCATTTCCATATGTTGAAGAAAATACAAGAATTTTGAAAATTTATACAACTGGAGAACAGGACTCATTGTGGAAAGAGATGGGGAAAGATAGTGCCCTGTTTTAAGTCCTATAGTACAATTTGTAGGTAGTGTATTAACTGTGTAAATATGGAATTTTTGCCCAGACGTGTATTTATTAAAAAGTAACAATTTGAAGAGGGAAAGAGGTAAGTGGGACAATTGTTAGAAGATTGGGAGCAAAGCATGCCAGGAATAGAAAAAGAGAAATTATAGTACTCATCGTTGAGACTAATATTTTGAATGATTCTGAATATTCATAGATTCTTCCAGAAGCATAGGTCAGGTCCAGGATTAAGACGCATGGAGCTTAAGGATGTGCTCCTGGTAGAAACCAGTAAGAAAAGGGGAAATAAAGAAGCAAAATAGAGAAAAGACAATGGGTCTTGGGTTTCTAAAACCATTCCAGGTTTAGTGATTCGCTAGGAGGATTCACCTTACATTCGTACCTATCAGCATGACTTACCAAAATGATAGCATGCAAAACAAAATCAGGAAAAGGAAAAGGTACATGGGGCAAAGTCCAGAGAAAAGATGAGTCCCAGAAACTTCCAATTATCCACATTGGCCAGACAACCCTAATGTTGAGGGATAATCAGTCTGAGGTCAGGAATTAGGCTACAGCTGCAGAA